TGGGATACAGAGAACAATAAGCAAAACAACGTTTTAAAGGTGGAGGGAGATGGTAATAACTTATTCTCAATGCTGGAATGATCTTACTGTCATTAGCAGAAAACTCCCACATTTCATTAGTGAGTATAGCATTCCAATCCTTGACACAGTGTTTTGCTCGCAAAAGGCCTCCAAGTGTTTGTGCTGCTAAAGGTAATCCCTTGCACTTCTTAACAATCTCTCGACCAATGTTTTCTAGAATCGAATTCCCATTAGTTTTGAGAAAACACGCATGATCTGCAAACACTGACCAACACTGTTCATCGGACAAATGATTTACATGGTAAGGTGGGCAAGTTTGGACAACGGCAGCAACCTTTTCACTACGAGTTGTCACGAGAATTTTACTTCCCTTAATCCCATATTGAAAAGGTGTTTTAAGACTACTCCAACCATCATAATCATCACTCCAAACATCATCCAGAACAAAAAAGAATTTCTTTCCTGCTATTCTTTCCTTCAAATCAAGTTGAAGTAAATCTAGATCCATCTTATTACAAACACCAGAGGTAAGTGATTCTATTATAGTCCTTGTAGTCTTAACAATATCAAATTCTTCGGAAACACAAACCCATGCTTTCAAATCAAACTCCTTCATCAAATTATCATTATTGTACACCCATTGGGCTAGAGTGGTTTTTCCAACACCAACCATGCCCACAATAGGGATCACAGATATTTGATCATCAGTATCATCTTTTAATATATGAATAATTGCATCTTGGTCAATCTCCCTGCCATATATATTCCCTTTGACGAGAGAAGTAGAGGGAGTCCTCCAAGAGAAGTTCTCCCTGGGAATGTGTTTGAGATCAAGGATATACTTGCGTTTTTCAATATCTTCTATTCTTCTAACAACCTCGTCCATCTTATTCACAATCTCCCTATTATGGGACTGAAGAAAGCGAGGGAGAAAGTTACTAACCTTCTTCTGAGTTGCAGCTTGGGTGAAAACACGATCCAACAAGTCATCAGCTACATAGACAGCATCCCTGAGATTATGGAGCCAGTTCTTGACACTTGGGTTATTGATTTGCTTCTGCTCAACATCAATAAGCAGAACTCCAGCAGCACACAGAGCATTATTCAACCTTTGCAGCAAGTCTTGGTCAAGCTTCTTTCCTTTGATCAACTTCACAAACTCAGCTGAAGACACCCTCTCAAAAACAACGTTTATGAAAGCAGAGAGAAAAGCTCCACCCACAAGTGCTTCCGCCATGATGGATCAAATTAGATGGAGAAAATGCTAACAATTGCAAACTTTGAACAAAACTCGCCTCTTCTATTATCTACTTAGGAGACACTCGTAATTTGTTAACATACAAAAATTGACTTAACATGGTGATGTGATCAACGTCATTGTGATTATATATAACTTCAGAAAGTTGGTATTGGTGGAGTTGGTAACTGCTTCTGAAGCAATAATTAAGATGTATATAATCTTAATTATAAATGTGTGCGTGTGTTAAAAAAATAAATATTGATCATTATATTTTATTATAAATAAAAAATTATATTAGTGTTTTAAACAATTACATAACTTTTTTAAACGGCTACGTAATCTTTAAAAACTCATTTGTGTATATACGACGCAGAAGTTTGGTTCTTATTTTTATATAAAAATAGTTTCTAGTCTAAATATTTCCCTTGTTTACAGAAGTATAATTAGGATAATTATCATTTCTAAATAATAAAAATTATAAATTGAGTTGAGATCATACAAACTGTACACGAATAATAATTTGAAGTTAGTAGTCACATCGTTACTTAAAAAAATTAATTTTTTTTTTTTAAAAATCTTAATAATTTATATATAAATACAAGGTTTATATAAATAATTCTCACAACCTTATAATGAATTGTTTTTGCTAGATATGATATATATCATGCACCCAATTTTTTTTAAAGAAGTATTTTGGCAAATTATAACAACAATTTTTTTAACTTACACCAAAGATTAACAAGTGATAATTATGATTTTCTTAAAATACACTAAAGGTGTAGCTTGATAAATTATTCCTTCCAAAACATAAGTAGATGTCTATTAGTAAATCACACACATAAATACACACGTTCTTTTCTGTTAATCTATTTTCCATAAAGACAGATTACCTGTTAAAAGAGTTGGGCTATTGTAAAGACTAGTGTATATACAACATTAGAGATATTTTTTATAAGGTCTTTATCAAGTTTAGTTTTTATGGCAGTAAAAACTCTAGCTTTTCTTTATCTTTAAAATAATCATCTTACCCATCCTTCTTTTCCCCTAAAATATTGACTATGACTTCTTGTATGTAATAATGTGTTGTTTGTTGTGCAACAGCAACTATTGTTATATGTTGAATAATGTTTATTATGTGATATTCTGGCAACCCATCTACGTTGAATACTTGTATTTGGATGGAGAATTTAAAATTTTAAAAAATATATGAAATTAATAATGAAAATTAGTTAAAATGAGAGTTAAGTATGAAAAAAGTTATAAATGTTAAATATAAAAAGTTAAATATAATAGAGATATTTTTAAATTCTTTTTAAAAATAAGTCATTTAGAATTTTTTTTATTTAACATAAAAATATTTAGTTAAAATTCTACAATATTTTAAAAATAACTTTTTTATTATCTGAATACATTTAATGTAATGATCTTGAATTACTCTATCCAATCACAAAGCTTTTAAAGTTAGGATATCTTTCTGCTAACATCAACAAATTTAGTGTTGTTGCCTTTTGATAAATAGTTTTGTTAGGTTTCTGCAACTTAATGTTTGGCTAATTACTAGGCTTACCTTAATCACGGAGTTTGTGTTAGATTGTTTATCAATTAATTTCAGTTGTTGACTTGGTTTGTTAATTATATCATATTAACTGTTAATCCTTTGTTCGTCTTAAGTATAGTTTTTGTTGTTGATCCTTCAATTGTTGGGTGAGGTGTTCAAGTATAGCTGTTGTCAAAATTTTGAGTTGCTTAATGATTTTGGACCAAAGTCCACTAGGATTAGTCTTTGCTTCTAATAGATTTTGTTTTAAGAAGTTCTAAGTCTCTTTTTACATTTTTAATCATCTTGAAGGGATTGAATAGGATTGTTTTCTTTGATTTTCCACCTTTGGAAAAGACGTGATTGTATCTTCTTTTGAAAATATATTTTCTTCTTGAATTTAAAGATATTTGTTTGTAAAATTAATTTGAACGTTCCATATTTTGATTTTGCTTCAATTGCTTGATTGTTTCACTATTTGTGTGCGTGTGGTCTTCATTTTTTTCCTCTATTCTCTCTTCTTATTATATGTCCCAATTTCCGCTCTCATTGCACCATGGTTTTCTTAGTGTGTAGTGCAAGTTGCTTATGCATTGCCCATTTTTAATCTCAAATCATGCTGATCAAACATTTTTATTTTGTAATTTTTAATATGATTTTCTTATTTTATTAAAACAAGTAATTAAAACAAAATAAATTACGTTCAGTCTTTCGAATTTTAAAACTTTTGAATGTTTTGGATGAAATGAAGTTATAATGAAGAAAGTAAAATAATTCAGAAAGCACAAAAAGTCAAGTACCATAGACGAGAGGTGTAACTAAAAATAAATAAATAATATAAGTAAATAAAAATATAAGTAAATATTTATGTTCAGATTTTGTAAAATGTTCCAAAAAAGTATAAAAATAGGATGGGTAAATAAAATAAAATAATTAAATCAAGTATGATAAAAAAAGTTTTAGATAAAATTCAATGTTCACAATAAGCATATAAAAGTTATAAATTAATTTTTGAAATTCTTTCAAATGGCCTAATAAAAGTGTAAAATGTGCATATTCCTTCAGGAAGACAATATTACAAGTATTTTCTTACTCAAAGGTACTCCGTTTTCATTATTTATGATTTATTTTATTTTATATTTTTTTTGGAGTGGTAAACTAACAACTTTATAAGAATTAAAAATATTGTCTCAAATTAAAATTTAAAAAAGTGGAAACGATCAATCATTACTGAGAACAGACTTTATTATTAAGCTTCCAACGTGACCACGGATTTCACCTAAATTAATGTTTAAAGGTTAATTAATCAATTAAGACGCTTCATTATTAATATTTTAATTGTATTTGATATTTGAAATTATAACTTTAAAAATTTATAGTTAATTAATAAATAAATATAAATTATATTTTTTAATTTTATTAAATTATACTCGAAATTGAAAGTCCAACTTTACTCTGTTTCTATCTATCATAAAAGATAACTAAAATTAGAATTTCATTAAAAATTAGAATATAAAATTAATATTCCGTTCCAGGTCTAAACCTGTATGACAAATGTCACCTAAAGATTACGAATAGGAATTCAATTTATAACAGTGTAAATTTCTTAGATATAAAATTCTAAAAAAATTAATTGGATAAAATTGTAACTCTAAGCTCAATTTTTCACCAGAAAGGCAATGTAGTATTTCTACAGTGTAGGACTTGGATTGAGAGTCCAATTCATAGAAATCAGACAACGGAATTAAAAAGAACAGAAGTTATAAATAATAGCCTAACAAGCTGTAAATGTCTTCATTGTTACTTATTGTAAAACCTGTTTGTCCTTCAAAATGCTACAATTCCATAACAGGAGAAAAAAAAATGAAAAAAATTTAGCTGGAGACTAAGCAACAATACTGAAAAGCATACAAATTATTAAAGAAAGAACTTCCTAAACAGCCCTAAAGACACCCAAAAGAGAAAAATAAAAGTATAGAAAAGTAGAGCAAACAAAAGGGTTCACAATTCACACCAACCAAAGTCCAAACGCCAGAAAGCACAGCTTTCATTTTGGCCACTTTCTTATTTTCAATTAGATGCATTTTGACCATTTCACCCTTCCCTCTTCCTTTTAATACCAACCCATGGAAACTACCCACCACCTTCTTACACACACTACCTTAGTCATAATAACCTCTCTGGTCCTTTCAGGCTCACAACATGTCCAAAGAAGGAAAACTAATGAAGCTCAAGTCAGTGCTCAAGAAATTGAACTCATTTAGCAACAAGCAGCAAAGCCGCGCCACCATCAGCGCCGTCGCGAGGGACGAATCATCGTCGCCATCGGGACCGGAGCTCCTCCCTGTGTACGTGGGCAAAACCCGGCGGCGCTACCTCGTGAATTCCGACGTTGTGGGACACCCACTGTTCCAAGAGCTGGTGGATAGGTCCCGCGATTCTTCCGAGGAGGAGGAGGAGACCGTGAACGTGGCGTGCGAGGTTGTCCTGTTCGAGCACCTTCTCTGGATGCTCCAAAATGCTGATCCTCAACCCGAGTCTCTCAACGAGCTCGTCCACTTCTACGCTTGCTAATGCTATCTCATTTACTCATAATTTGATAAATAAATCAACATGCATTATTTTCAAACCTTCTGCATGATGAATGAATAATCATCTCCCTCGTGTGTATACATACACAATGCGTGATCTTTTCAGTGGCTGTAATTTTGACCATAGGAGTGAATGAGCAGGAAATTTCAAGCAAGTAAAACTAATTGGTTGTTATTGTTCATTTCTTCTGCAAGGGATGATGTTTTAGTTTTCATTAAATTTGTGTAGCATTGTTAGATGATAAAAATTCTTATGATGGCCGATTAGAATAAATTAAAGGGTAGAAGAAAACAAAGAAGAGCTCAAAGTTAAACGATCATGTTCATATGCTTAGTATATATTTTTAATTTGCTTCATTTTTCTTACTAGACGTTGGAAACGTCTAATATTTATTTTTCATTTTTACAAGCTAATCAATTATATATATGGTCAAAGAATACCCAAGAAAAGATAGCTCTCAGTCACAAGAGAGACGCTAAAATCAGGATGTGCTTGCCGCTCCAGCCATGAGAGATCCTTTCTAAATGTTACCCAAGTGACCATTTTTGTGGCTTTGCCGCTTCATACCGCTCCCTCAAATATTAATACTTCTTTAAAAACATTCTTTTTATGATAATTAATAAATTTTATTTACTCTAATAACTCTTTAAAGTAATATAAAAATATAATATTTTTATATATGTTAAAAATTAAAGTTGCTATATATGTATGTGTCTATATATATATATATGATGACATTGTTACCTTACAATTATAAAATTTCAACTGCAATAAATTTAAATAATATTTAATTTTAATAACAAGTTAATATTAAAAGTATGATTATATTTTTATATTATAATTTTTTTTTTTGCTTTCATAAAAGAATTTGGATTTTCATTCTTCTCATGATAATATTTTAAAAAAACTCAATTAAGAACGTATTTTCAAAATATTAATTTCTTGAAAAATTCTTTTAAAATATAATATTCTCAAGTTAAAATTTTCAAAAGAAACTTAAAAGAATCTTATTAGAAAACATCCCTAAAGAAAAACCTTAAAGCTAGGAAATCTGTTGGCAGAGGAAGCTACAATAAAATGTCCATATTCGTTGACAGCAGTAAAGTCAACTTTAAGGAGGCAGGTACCAGAAACCAATACCTTAATTATTTTCATGATGATGATTATTATACGGGCGAACATATTGCTAAATGGGTAGAGGGTAAACATACATACACCCAGAGAAACCCATTTTTTTTAAATACTAATCACTAATGATTAGTTTGTTAGAGATGCCTTTATTTTTTTCCCAGTACATAATACTCACACGCTTTCAACAGTCGTTGTCGGCAAGTATGGGAAAGAACAAAGCTTTTTGTTAAACTGATTGAGGACTCTAGATTTTGGGAATTATTAAGCATATGACAAGAAATTGGTACGGAACATAATTGAGTTTGCAACGCATTGCCAGCTGCTGAATATTACTCCCTCAGCACAACAATGGTGTGGTGTTATATCCTAATAATATCCATTATCCATTATCCATTGACAATTACAACCTGACAAGAGGGCTTGCAAAGTATTCTGCTTTTTCTAAATTTTTGCCAAGTTTTGGGTTTGCATTGCTAAGCTACTATAATTCGGCCAATGGCAAGTATTTTAGTAATTTACATAAAGTCATAAGCACAAATTTATGGTTATTGTTGTGCTGATAAATTATGACACCGTCTTCGTTTCTTTCTAAGGGTAGGTTTTGACCTTTAAACATAAAAGAGTTTAGCAGCCTGTCAACTATATTTTATCTTCGAAAGTTGGAAGAAACCACTCCCACCTTCAACTATTAGAATACTTAATGTGAAAAAAAAAACCATAAAAAACAGGTAAATAATAATAAGTGTCCCTAAGACTTCAATGATTAAAGTTTTTATTAAAATATTATTAAATACATAAAAATAAATTAAAATGAGTATAAACATATATTGAAAACAAAAAGTCGGCAGGCAAGAGAAGAAACTAAAATGAAAAAAAAAAGGTTTTCTTTTTATTTGTTTCTTATTATATAATAATTATTTTTTTTACTTTTGAGGTACACTCTTTATCTTTTATATATTTTTGTCACGTATTTTCATAGAAGCAGATACATTTTTATTTTATATTAATTTTAATACAACTTTTTAAATATAATTTTATTTACTAATTAAAAATTATAAAAGAAAATTACGTGGTTTTTGTGATTTCTAATTCTTTGAAAGACTACGTTAAAAAATGTTACTAGCTTTTTATTTTTAAATGATCGGACAACATTTCCTTCCTCTAAACTTTTACATTTTAAAAAAGTAAAAATTGTTTTTTTTTTAAAAATAAACGTGTCAGTAAATAATAAATAACTCTTTTTAAAAATAAGAACTATTAAATTACTCTTTTAAAGATTAAAATCATTATCATATTAATTTTGAAAAGATTATATCACCAAATTTATTTTTTAAAATTTAACTTGTCACTAAATTAATCTTTAAAATTTTAAATTTTTACCATTTTAGTCCTTAAAATATATTAAATTAATAAACATAAATGGATTAACTTAAAAATAAATCAAATCTGAGTATAAAAGTTTAAAATTTGATGTATTAAACTATTCTTATAGAAGATTAAACCAGGGTTAGAAAGATTAATTAAGTGGTAAAAATTTTGGAGAACATATATGATGGTGTGTGTGTGTCTCTCTCTCTCTCTCTCTCTATATATATATATATATATATATATATATATATGTATATATGTTAAAATATGTTTTTATCCTCACATTTTAGCTTCTTTTTTATTTTTTTTAATGTCGGGAGTAAAAAAAAATATTGTTTGAAGGGACTAAAAAAAAAAAATTATACTAAAAACTGAAGAACATATTCAAGTTTTCCATTGTAAAAAAATAAGGTCAATTATGCATTTATAGAAAAATAAGCCCCTAAACTAATTATTTGATTATTAGAATTCCATGTCAACTTATACGATTATTACTCATTTCAAGTAAATATGTTTAATTTGACCTCGCCAAGCTAATTAAATAAATATCAAATTAGACGATTAACATTCAAGCATACTTCGTGCAACCCATAAACCATTTTGCCAGGTTCTATTCCCATTTAGAAATGGAAATTATTGTCATATATTTCAATAGCTAAATAAATATGAAATTGAATTCGGATTGCCATGTGAAAAATGTTCATTTATTTATGCATAAAAAGAAGTCAACGAGACTTAAGTTCACACCTTCCATTTTGTATGGACCAATTTTTGAATTTGAGTTCTTTTTTCAATATGGAGTTAGGAAAGTATGCAATTATGTACTTTCATAACTATAGCATCCTTACCAAGTTTTTTGACATCTAAAAATCAAAACAAAACAAAAAAATTGTTAAAAGAAATAATAATACAATAAAAAGTTTAATAATCCTTCGACAAATATATTTTATACAGTGAATTAAATTTCATTGGTGTAAGTTATGTATTATTTAATAATGTTTTTTAGATAATTTTATCGTAATAGTAACCGCTGGATTATTAAGTTTTTATCCATAGATTATGTTTATATAAAAAAATTTAGATCAATACATAATTCTTTGATATCTCGTTAAGTACATTAAAATTGAGATAATATATTATTTCCAAATATATAAAAATAAATTTTAAATTTGATTCTTTTAAATGTTTAAATTTAACACAAATAATCATGTATGGTTATAATTCAACAATTGATTAATTAAAATAGTGCATTATAATATAAAATTAAGAAAGTAATAATTAATTTAAGTATAATTTTGATCTTCCTTTACAAACTCACCAACATAAACAGTAGATGTATTAAATGAGAGAGTTTTTAATTGGTAATACCTTAAAACTTAGGGGCAAGCATATACTCAAGACATTATCCATTTTATGGAAGCTTGGCCTACGGGACATCAAAATATAAGGAAGACTCCAACTGGTTGACCATTCTATCAACTATTCTTATGGAGTGATGGAGGATTTTACTTAAAGTTGATAAATTTATTTTAGTAGCAAATTTTGTTGTATTTTTTATGAAGGGGAATTTTGATGCGCCACTTGTTCTTGGTGAATTTTTTGGTCACTAGAAAAGCTTTAATTAATGTGAAACAATGTTAGCTATTATTGAGGGTACAAGATATTAATGTAACATTTAACGTATTTGAAGTTATATATTATTATGATGAGAATAAACATTGTTTAGATAAAATAATTTTAAAATATTATAAAATTTTAACTAAATTATTTTATGTTAAATTGAAATAATTTTAAATGATTTGCTTTTAGAGGGAATTTAAAATTCTTTCTATTTTTTTAATTTTTTATATTTATAATTTGTTTTTTTTTTTATACTTTACTCTTATTCTAAGCATTTTTTACTATTGCTTTCATATTTTTTAGAATTTTAAAATTCTCTATCTAAATACAATTTTATAGTTAATATAATTGATGATATGACCACAAATTTAATTAAATAACAAATTCTACCTAATCTTTTTGAGAAAATAATAGTTAGTTCACTAATGAAAGAAGAAGGTCAAGTTGGATAACGAAAACAATGAAAAATGATAGATTTTAAGTTCAGGATTCAAAAAGACTAAATTGATACATTTTAGAAATAATCTCTCCGACTAGAACCACGCTAACCAACAACAACTATACGTAAATAGATACTTAGTTCTTAACGTGTAACATTAGTTATTTTGTTTATCCAACTAACTAATATAGTAATTTCTTGATTATATATTAAAGTAATTTGTAAGAAGTAATCTTACCTAACAAAGAATGATTTTGAATAAAAGAGCTGGTTAATCTAACTTGTCATCTGTTATAACACAATCATTTGAGAAACAAGATCACATAGTCGTCTGTCATACTCCGTACTACTAATTAAAACATAATCAACTTGTTAGCACAAGTTGCTTACGATCTAGAATTAAATAAATAACAAAATAGAATAAATATCAGATCTTCTTCTTAGCGATCAGATTTTTGCTATCACTTCTCCATAACCATGTGCTTAGATTAGATGCTTAATTTACAAGACATCAAGAATTAGATTAAGTTAATTATTTTTTATTAAGAAATAAAAGCATATGATCAGAAGAGAACGGAGACAGCTCAAAATTGGATTGGAATCTTTGCTTGAAGATACAGAGGCACATGACGATCTTTTTCTTTTCGTGCATATATGTATATATAGAAGTTGAGTTTCTATTTAAGAGCAGGGGAAGTTCAGGGAAAGGCCTGAAATATAAGTTTGAAGCATCCACCATCTCACTGTTAAAACACATAATTAAGATGCAAACCAACACTTAATCATTGACTTAAACAACACCCACACATTAAAAAAGCTCATTTTCACACTCCTAAATGTGTCGATCGAAACTCAAAATATGTTCCATATGAATAAAGCGAGTACTGTTAAAAAAGCACGTGAATCTGGGAAACATCAGATGCAGGTCTTTACCACAACAGAACAAACGGAAGTTTAACAACCACATTCTAGGCTCAAGTAGTCTATCATACATAGGAAATCAGAACAAAAAGATGGCAACAAAGAGAACCATTTTTGCACCTTAAGCCAGCCTATGATTTTGGACCTGCTGAAATATCAGAATAACAACTTACTCTTCCACAGTTCCCGAGCTTCCAGCTGCAGTTTCATCATAAGTCAAGTCTGAAGGTTAACAGATTAAAGAATTGCACAAAACAAAGATAAATCCTTCTAATGCTAAAGGTAAATTAGTTGGATTCATTCAGATACTAAATGAGTATAAAGTTTTAAATAAATAAAGAATACATCTTAGTTCGTGCTATATTAATGCGATATTGAACCACTGACTTTGATAATTTTTTTTAATCTAAAAGCTACCTTGGGCTTCAACTAATCCAAATCGGGTTAGAAGGATGCATTTAAGGAGATAAAGCTCTCCCTAAATCAATTCACAAAATCTTGTGCGTAACATTGGACAAAACTTAAGTGCAGTAGTATTTAATGTGTTTATAGTGTTTTCTAATCAAAATAAAGCTTCACTTTAGTAACATGTTCAATAAAATTAGACATTAAAAGTCAACGCTTGTTATTTAAATTAAATGAAACTTTAATTTTTAAAAATAATATAAAGGTACCCTAAGTGTAATCCTAAAATTTTGTCCAGGGCCCATTTTCTATTTAACAAGTCTTGGACATAATTTCAAGGACTAAACCTTTATTTTGGTTTCGGAGAGATTTTAAGTCTATCATTTTAGTTTCTAAAAAATTGAAAATGTCATGTTAGTCCATAACTTTTATTTTTATTGTTCATTTTAGTCCTTGAATATGAACTCTATTAACAAACATTAATAGAAAACTAATATGTCACCTTAAATATTATGTCAGAAGTTTAGTTGGCTGAAATAATATTATTTTGAGGGGTTCTAAAAATGAATGTGACAAAACACTTATAATTGGGTATAGGTTTGTTCTTGGTAATGATGAAGTTAGGCTTTTCTTGGTTAGGGGCACTTGTTCAATTTCATTCAATGACGTCAACCAATTGAGAATTAGTCATTGAAAATGACAAGTTTCCAACATAGAGCCTTCCAGTATCGTTTGAGTTTGAAACCCTTTGCTCTTTCTCCTGTTGTGGGTTTTCAAAGGTTTTTAGTTTTGACTCGTCTTGTTGGGACTTTTTATTGTCTTGAGCCACTTCCAATCCATCGAAGGCAACAAAATGTGAGTAAAGACGGTGAAGTGGGAGAAAAGAAAAGCTGAAACTTTGATACTTAATAATGTTGAGGTTAAGAGGTTTGTGGGATACGGGTCTTTGAGAAATGTTGCTAATGAGTAAAATGAAAGAGTGGGTGAACGAGAAGTTATAGATTCAATTGCAAAAACAGAAGTTGTAGTAGCCATTAAGAAAGAGAGAGAGAAAGAGAAAAGGTTGTGGTTCGGAAATTGAGAAGTGCATGTTATTAGGGGCACTTGATCAATTTCTTTTATTGATGTTGTTTTTGTCAACTACAAATATTTTGCTAGTTCACTTTTTGAATTCTTCAAAATGATGTCATTTAAGCCAATTAAGCTTTTAATATGGCACTTATCATGATATATCAATTTTTGGTTATTATTTATTAACGAAATCTACGTTAAGAAATTAAAATGAATAATGGAGATATAAGTTGGAGACTAACATATCATTTTTTATTTTTTAAAGACTAAAATATTGAATTCAAAATCTTTTTTAGAACAAAAATGAGAGTTTAGTCTAATTTTAAGAGTTCCAATAACTTTCAACTAACAATAAAAGGTTTCGTATGTGAATTTCATTGTGATAAATTCATTGGAATTTACATGTATATCTAAAATGACATCAAGTAATGCAAACAACTTACATTAATGCAAATAACTTACGGGCGCTGTCATCAAGGTGCTCTTTCTGCTCATTCTCCATGCACTTGAGGAGGTATTTGAAGGTCTCAATCTCACATGGTATGGTGAGTCCGCCACTCTGATCAAACCCAAATTCATCTGCAGCCTTTTCCAGCAAAACTTTGAATAGAGAGTGGCTAAGGTAGCTGGTGGGAATGATGAACCTCCTAAGCTCTGGTCCAACATACACTGCCAAGTAACCTTTTGGAACATCAGGTGGTGGAAGTGGTTCAGGACTTTGGCAAGCATCTTCATCTGAGTCACAATTCATAACATTCGCTATCCTTTTGTTAATTATTGGCGATACGCCCCCACCATGAATAGCGTGATTAGAACTACTTGAATTGTGGTTGGAAGCTTTTGAGCCTAGAGTGACACTTTGCCATTTCTGGAGCATTTCCTTTAGTCTCACAATTTGCCTAATTCCAGTCAATTTGGAGCCTCCACCGCAATCCATTGCTAACCTGTTATCACAAATGTCAAAAGAACTAATCCAAGGTCAAATTTAGTGGATCCACTTCAAGACTTCAATGAAATGTAAATATTTACATGAATTTTGAAATAGATGCAAACAGCATTAAGTATAAAGTTAAATAGATGCAAACCGTTGAATGATGAAGATCAATTAGATTTGCTTTTCTTATTTACAATCTACATTTGTGCCAATTCCTGATTACTTAGCTTGTTATCAGAAAATATGGATACTTTGTTCCCTCTCTTGCAAGTCCACATTGTTTGAATTTAATTTTTCTTGTTATATATAAGCTTATGATCTGGTACCTTCTCTCCATTTCATGAATCCTAAATGGAGACCCTCAGCTTTGCGCACATAATTTTTGTATCAAATTATACCAGGTATCAAATTAACAAATTCCAAGCCAAGATCCCCACAGATCGTTAAGCCTATGAAAAATCTAAAGCCCATACAATCAATTAGCCATTGACCTGTTCTTGCATGGAACATGCAGCTGCCAAAAAAATGATAAATTTAACCGCAATTAAAAATGACAATGATGAGCAATTTAATTCACATTCAAAATACAACAAACAGAAAAGAAAATGGAACACCAATGACGCCAAATCAAAAACTTTAGAGGCTTCAGAAGTGAAAAAATTAAAGGGCCAAATGCATGAAGAGATGGGTACCTTATAAGAAGAGGGCATTAGTTTTTAGTTATGAATTGGAGGAAAAATAGCCATGCAGGTTTGGACTTGGAGCAGAAGTAGCGAGCTCTCCAAGGAGAGAGGAAATGGAATGAAAGATAAGAGTTACGATAATGTTTTATCTTTCGGCAATGAAATGGTCATCAGAAGAAATATTGAAAAGACAATCGTTTGGTGTTGGAACTTTATACGCTGAATTATCGGCGAAAGAAAAACTTTTTGTTTTGCTGTTTTAATTCATTTTACTTATGTTTCTCGGATCACTCGCCGAAGCGTCGCTTTCGGAGAGTCTGTTTTCTGTTTTGGTCCAAAGATTTAAACCAACGGTGTGTGCAGCTGCTGCCTCCTTTTGCATTTTTATTTTATTTCTTTTTATAAAAAGGTAAATCAATAAAAAATAAATAAACAAAAGAAAAGCTAACGAAGGAAATATTTTGTTCATCACGTGGAGACATTAATTTAAATTGTTTATGAAAATGTTGTACTTGCTAGGAAAAACATCAAATGACCAAGGATTAGAGATGCATATGATTATGATGCATAAGATATTAAATTTAATAGAAAATATTTAATTTATTAAAATTAGTAAAAAGTAGTTGAATGTTATAAATTTACATTCAATTCTAAAAATATTTATAATAATAAATAATTAAATTAAGATTTTATATACTAAATAAATAAATATATCTATTTATATATATAATGAGTAAGTCTCATGTTTACACAAACTTTGCGATAAATGATGATTAAAAAAATTAATATATTTAAAAATAATTTTTTATTTATTATAATTAAAATAAGAATGGTTGGTAGTAATTTTTTTATAAATAGAGATAAAATTGTTTTTAACATTATATTCAATACACTTTTTATGATTAGTTATATTTAAAAAAAAACTCAAAATATTTTAAAAAATATCAATTTATGATATAAATATTTTGAATTGTTGAAAATTAAGAGTAATACCAATTATTATATTTCAAAGACTGTGTCTTTTAACTATTTTTTCTATGTATTAAAAAACTGAAAAGCCTAGTCAATCACAAAAACAAAGAGGAGCTCATGTCTTTTAACCATTTTATTATATTATAATAATAATATATGATATTATATATTATTATTTTCATTATTTACTCATTTTATATATACACATTTTAAAGGATTTAGATATTTTTCCACTGTGGATAAACTCGGGTCGGATAGAGCGGTGATGAACTGGCCAATTGAGTTGTTTGAGTGACAGCATATCGAAAATGCAATCAAACAATTTTAAGCTCAGTTAATTTTTTTAAAATTCGTGAACCGATAGTGTCTATAAAGTGGACAAATCATTCAAAATTACAAATTATTTGCATTTAGAGAAAAATGAAAAGCATAAATACATAGAATTATTAAAATTATTCTATGTACAACATTTGTAAATACAGTAGCATCAGAAGTTTTAAAAAGAAGTGAGAAGCTAAAAAATCACAAAAAAAGTGAAAGTATCCTTGTTTTCTTTTTTCTGAAAAATAAGTCAAACATGTACGAGTCTTGCTGATCAATGTTCTTTGATAATAGTTAAAAAATTGAAAGTAAAAAATTATTAAAATTACTGTTGAATTACATTAAAAATTATATAAGAGTACATTAATAATAATTTTAAATATTCTTTAACTTTTATTTTTTTTTAACTAATATCTGAAGTAGATAACGAGAAAATAATATCCATGATTTAAAAGGTACCAAGCTTGATAGCAAGAAACAAAGAGAAAACATCAGGATTTTTTTAATATGGTGCATTAATCAATTTGTAGCAAGACTAGTAATTTTCATATAAAGGGGGGAAGATAAATCTGTATAGCACAAAGACTTCTACTAATATTAAATTCTTGGCTAATTTAGATGTATCAATACAATATAAATCCAACTATTTAAATTACTTTCCAACACAGAAAATTTGGTATTTTCATTGTATCTCATACTTTTTTCCAAACTCTTTTCCATTCTAAATTTAGCTCTTTTCGTTCAGTCTCGGAGCAGTTTCTGTGCATTATTTTCTTTTAGTTATTACTCATTCAAGTAAGAGTATTTATATGAAATGCACAAACTTTCTAGAAGACAGTTTAACATACTCTAGATATTTAATTCTAAAAAATGATTTACATATTAATTTTCAAAATTAAGATTTCAAAGCCATTTTCGGAATTAAATTTTCAAAAAGAGAGGGGATGTAAATTTTTTTTCCCCAAATATATGTCAGTTACCTGATTTTATTGGGTCCTAAGTGCCATTTTTTTCAGCAGAAAGGTGACAGCTTAAAGCCCGTACAGTTAGAAGCGGGTTTGATACTTGAATGGGCCAGAATCATATAAGCATTTTCTTTTTCAGAATAAAATGGGTTCTAATTTTTTTTCTTTTTCTTTTCTATTTTATTTTTATAAATTAAACCATGCAAATTTGGCACTTATAACCCAACAGATTCAGTTTAAAGAGAAAATAAAATTTTTGAAAATAATTTAAGGAAATAAATTTGAAAAATTCCATGATTTACTATAGCAATCTTAATTCTTAATTTTAAATTAATAATTAAAACTCCTAATTTTTTCTCTCTAAAATTACAAGTAATTCTTGTATAAATATAATATTTTAAATACAAATAATTTAAAGGGTTTAATTTAAATCTCAATATCAATGTATTAAAATAATAACAAGGTATATACTAAAGATATTTTAGTATTGTCTTAATTATTTTTATTGATTGTGCCAATAAGCACTATGTTTATGTAAGAACTGTTCATAAAGTAATTTTTTTCTCTTTAAATTAATTAATGACTCATATCATTAATAAAAAATGGTAACAACATATTCATGTAAACATATACTTTGAAATTGATAAAACAAATTACTTGAAATACTTTAATTATTAGTTTAGTTATTTTTTTAAAAAAATCAACACTCCTAATTAAAAGGTGTCATGTTTTATGAGAAAGCTAATTTACTTATAAAAATTGAATCAATACCATTTTTTTAAAGTCTATATATATATATTTGCTACCTATTTGTTAGACTATAGCAGTAGTTAAGCTACACTATTATTTTATATAGAGTTTTAAATTGTTGTTACATATTGTGGCTATTGCGAGTTGGTGCGATCAATTGCAATTCACACTCAGCCTTGTCTGGTTGTGATGAGCATCACAATTGATATGCTATAATCGTATTACCCATGTGATTTTAAAAACTAACTTCACCTAATTATTCGTATAAATTTGTTTGTGTTTTAAGTTAGAAATCTTGAATTAATCTATATAATTTAATATTATCTAGGATTTAACTCTCTTTTTCTTTCTTCTTTATCAAAATCCAACCATTAAATAAATAAACAAAAATAACCCTAATTCTGCCTCTCTCCCTCAAATTTGACTAGGGATATACATGCATAATTGAATCTAAAATTTTGTTGGTATGCTTTAAAAATTTTCTGGTCAATGTGAATCACCATGACTTGGAGAGTAGTGTCTGTACCTGTAACTTTTCTAAGGTTATTTTGAGTCATATTGAGTGGCAAGATCGAAGAAAGTAGAGATGAAAATATGAACTTTGAATTTTCTTACATTTGCTTTTCTTATGATGAAATTTAAAAAACATTTATGATTCCGATTGAAAATGGTAACCTAACAATGTTGAAAGTTTTCTTATTAGGATGAAAAAATATTTGAATATGAATTTGAGATAGACATGATTAAAAGTTTTTTTTTCTTGCTATATCCATTGCATTTTTACGATAGAAGGTTAGAAATAGTCACTACAAAAAAGTTAGTAGGTTAGAAATAGTCACTACAAAAAAATTTATTATTTATCGATAAATAAAAATTTTCAAGTGCTTGGATAGATTTTATCAGTATAGTATTTGTCTAATAAAAATTAAAGTATAGATTTCAAAGATATAAATTAATAAAAATCCATTATTCTATCACTTGGTAGTATATATTATATTTTTTACTGAAAAAGTTATTTATTATTATGATGTATCATATTGTTAAGATAAACTCATATACTAATAATTTAAATTAAAACATTTTAATAAGTAATATAGTATTAAATTGTTAATATATGATAATTTTTTCATAGTGAGTTAGATTTGAAATTTTAATATTTCTAATACTAATTAACGTAGAGAGTAGACTACTCAACATATCTAGGACCGATTTTATTGATTTTAAACCTCTTTATGATATATATATATATATACACACGTGTGTATGTATATTCTATAGAATGACTAATTTATGGTTTATTTATTTGTTTTGA